GGTGAGACAGCAGCGAGGGGCCTTCGGGGAGCTGCTCCTGAGGATGCGGGGTGAGTGGGGGCTCAGTAGCGGTTCCCGGGCACTGGCGTTTGCTGGGCTGCCGCTCCTGTATCCCAGTGCTGGAAACAAACTTCTGAAGGGAGGAGGGTGAAATGTTTCCAAGCTGAACTGGGCCTGCAATGGGATTAAGGCCCAGCCCCAGCTTCTACATAATCTTGTATGGGATGTGGGCAGAGCTTTGGGGTTTCTGGAAAAGATGAGGCAACCTTTGTCCTGGTAAGCTGAAGAAGGAACTCCCTGCCAGAACTGTGGTATAGAGGAGGCCTGTTCCAAGAGAGACACACTTAGGGAGACACAGTGTGGGAAACCTGTGTGAAGGGGTAGATGTGTATTGGAAATGGATAGGCTATTGATGCTCTTTTGGGAGAGCTGAAAGGTCTGCGTCCTGGAGGACTGCAGCACATGGATAGCTGGGGGAGTGGATGTCTAAAGCAATGTCTGCACCTGGAGAGGCAACACTCTAGCTGTCACTCTAGGTACTCCAGTTCCCAAACTTTTAAATCTCGCCACAACAATAAAAAAATACTTGCCAGGAATCTTGTGTTGTCACAAAGCCAGTAACCATTACTGGATTTTTCCTAGCCAGCTCAATTTCTTGTTGGGTTGGCTGTGATCACAGGGCTGCCGCCTGCCCTCCCTGCCCTGCCTCTGGAGCTTACCGTCCTCTACAACTCCCTGCTTTTTACTGGAGCATCTGACTCTGCCATCAAAGGAGAAGCAGAAGGAATACGCCAGGGGCTTCTCAGGGGTAAGTAGATGGTTCTCTGTACGGGGGCTCCTCAGAGCGAGGAGCCTCTGTGCTTTGTAGATGTACAGTGACCGGTTGGAGGTGGGGGGCTCCAAGCAGAGAAGCCTGGTCTTGCCAGGAAGGGCAGGAGGTGGCCAGGGATTATGTGCAAGCTGCCAGGCTGTCTGCCTGCCTGCAGGGATGTGCCAAAAGGTTTAAGGGAAATGAGAGTTTTCAAGGCATAAGGTATGAAGTTGTTAGCAATGTTTCAGTGATAGTAGAAAATCAGTGTTTTCTTTAATTATGGTGCCCTGGCTTCAGAGAAAACTCACTGAAATAGGCTGCAGATCAGAGGGAGATCTCAGTGTTGGCACATGCTTGCCGTGGGGGAAGTGACCTCAGGAGGACTCGGTAGAGTAGCTCTGAACCATGTGTTGTCTCCTGAGCATGCCACCGTTAACTCTACTGTCTGAGAGCTTGGTTTCCATGCTGCTGAGGCCAGGAAAACCCTGTAACCCCATTCCTTCCCTTGCTACAAGGAACATGTGGTTGCCTGAGGCTTTCTCTCCCTCTTGGGAGGGTGTCTGTTACAGGGCACCAACCTGTCCTCTCATGGCTGTGTTGTTTGTTTGTTTATTTTCAGTTCTGGAGGCTTGTGGGGGCTGCGGGCAGGATCTTAGCACAGAGGAGCTGTGGCAGAAGGTGCTGCAGGAGGTAACTGCGGAGGAGCTGCAAGGACCTTTGCACCGACTGGGGGCCCTGCAAGCAGTGTGGTGGCTGGCAGCCAGCCGCCTGGGAAGCACCACCAGCCTCTTCCGGCTCCTGAGCCACACCGAGGTAACTGGGCACGGGTGGATGCTGCGCAGCTCCTGGTTTTGTGCACCGGAGTATCTGCATGGATATAAATACCCGTGGGGTTGGCTAAAGGAGGCAGAGCTGTCTAAAATACTGTGTTTGTCATAAAACCCATTCTGCAAAATGTTGCTGTGGCATTTGGCATTTGGAGACCTGAACCCATCTGCACTGCACAGTCAGCATGAGTAATCCTCTCCCTGGCATCCCAGCGTAGCCTAATGGCCTCAAGTGCGTTAATGGGACCTAGAATACCTCCAGCCTGTAGGGGGCCCTGGACATCAAGGAGACTTCTGCAGGCTGGAAGGGCTGCAGGTGGACTTGTAGCCTATGTAGGGAGTAAGCTGCAAGCACTGGGATGCAGAGGAATCTTCCCTGCTGATTGTGAGGCTGCTGAGGGGTCCCACCTTTTTGAATGCCTTTCAGCAGCACTTGAATCTGCCTTACCAGGAGACCCTCAAGGTGCACCTTGCTCTGAGGAGGGGAGGTGCTGCCCTGGGTCAAGCAGGAATCACTGCAGTGAGTGGGTTATTGCTGAAGTGAGTGGGCTGTAGGAGAGCACTCCCCAGCACAGAGAGCACTGTTGAAGGGTTTGGTGAGACCTCTGTTTCTCTGTGCCCTGGGATTCCTGTTTCCCTTCAGCATTCTCTGCCCTCCCTCCTCTATATTCACAGGATGGGGGGAGACCTCTTTGCAGCAAGGGGATGAACGAACTCCTCTCCCTCCTCAAGGCATGGCGAGTACCTGCAGAGGAGGCCTCTCTGCCCCTTTTACAGAGCACCGAGGCCTTGAAAGAGATCCTTTGCACTGCAGCAGCCTTCCTGCAAGGTTTGTGTGAAGGAGGTATTCATGCCAGCACAGCTTCCCCTTGGTCCCAGGACCCCTGCTCCCTGCCCTTATCCTGGTTTCTCTTCCCAAGTAAACTGGCCCTTGAATTTTTCTGGGCTGTTCCTTTGGAAGACTGCCCGGGCTGAGCCTCTGGGTCTCAATTTTGATGTTGAGTATTCAGAGAGCTTTTCTGCTATTTTTCTCCAGCTAAGCCTTTCTCTGCACTATCACAGGGTTCATCTGCCTGTCTATGCCTTTAGGTAGGTGTCTGGGCCCCACAGTGATCTTGCATAAAGCGGAAGGCTGGAAGGGATTTTCCTTTCATAGAATCATAGAATGGTTAGGGTTGAAAAGGACCTTAAAGATCATGAAGTTCCAACCCCCCTTTCTTCTGTCCTTGTTGCAAGGACATTGTTCTAGGCACATTATGGTGCTGGGGTAGCCATGCAAAGCTGTTGTGCAGGACATGATTGATCTCATCGGACTGCTGTGTTCTGTCCCACTCATGGTTTTCCCTTGCTTCCTGTCTTGACAGCCTCGGCAGCTCTGGGGGCAGCCAGTGCTGTCAGCCTGATGTGGGGCCTTCCTGTGAGGAGGGAGGGCCAGGAGCTCCTGCCCACAGACTTCTCAAAAGCCTCTAGGGTGACAGTAGCACTTCCAGTCAGGAGGTGGCAGATGTGAGTCCGATGTAGGCATGTGACAGCAGCCTCAGAGGGAAACTTGAAATGAGGATTGAAAGAAAAGCAAATATAATTTGCAATAAATATTAATGAATTAATATCCCAAAGCATCCTGCTGGGTAATAGCCCAGATATGCTGTAAAAAGACTTTCTGAGGTTCTGTGTGTGCTTCCCCATCCACGCTGCTGTCGTTGCACATGAATGCACAGGTGGAGCTGCCCAGTACCTACCTCGGCCCTTGTTCTGCGCTGAGGCAGGCATCTTGGTGTCTGAGCTTTGCATCTGCTATTATTTCTGCTAGACGTTTCCACCGAGTGGTTTGTTCTCTTGCAGCACCATCAAACCAAAGATAGCAGCTTGGCAACATCCTGCTGTGCATCGCTGTGTGCAGAGGGGATCAGGCAGGTCCTTCTAGCACTGGGCAAAAAAAGAGCACATGCTTGTTGGGGACAAGGTGAGGCGGGAAGGGGGCTGCAGAGCTGAGGTGTTGGGTCTATCCTAGGGCTGCAGGAGCTGGAGGCTGGGAACTTCCCCACCGCCTTCTCCCTCCTCCAAGAGGCTGCAGGAGGATTCTGCTCCAAGAGGGTCCTGGCCCAGATCTACACTTGCCTCGGCTGCTGCACTGAGCAAATGGTAATGGCCGTGCCTCTCCCCTGTCAGAGGGGACAGGGGAAACGCAGCCTAGAGCAGGGTGGGGAGCCTCAGGCTGATATCTGTGCTGCCTGTATGTGGTCCTAGGCTGCTGCAGGAAGGTGAGGTCTTGAGCACAAGTTACCTTTGTGGCCCCAGCCTCCTTGGAGATGCGCAAAATCCAAGCAGGGATTTGGTCTGGGCGCAAAGGGTTGCTGCAGAGAAAGAAGCTCAAAAAACAGTTCAAGGAGGGCTGCATTTGGCTCAAGTGCTGCCCTTGCTTAGAGGGGATTGCTGGGGAAGCAGAGCAGGGATCTGGATCCCACTGAACAGTAAAGATGTCAGCAAGATGTCCTTGCAACATGCATCTCTTTCCATCTACCTAGGGCAAGCCCCAGACAGCCCTTCAGCACCTGAGACGGGCCCTCCAGGTAGACTTCCAGTGCCTTCCTGCCCTGTCTCACGTGGCAGCAGTGTACCACAAGCTGGGGGAGACAGACGCGGAGCTGCAGGCCCTGGTTCTGCTCTATGAGGTTTGTCTGCTTCCTGTAGTTCTAGGTTGATTTTTGCCCAGCAGAGCCTGCACAGAGCTTCAAGCAGGCTCCTGCCTTCTAGGGGGCTGTTTGACCCTGGAGGGGTCCCTAAAGTAGACTGCAGCTGTTGAGCCATACTGCTGCCTTCAGCAGTGAGCAGGAAGGAGCCCAGTGAGGTCTGAAATTCCTGCTCAGCACCTTGCAGTTGGATGGGGCAAGACCTTTGGGTCCTAGTTCATGTTCTTGGTTGCTTGAGAGAAGAGGTTACACTGATGTCAGAGAGCATGATGTGGACTAAGATGTGGTCTAACTAGGTCTGCAGCTGCAATGGGAGACGGTGTTCCAGGCAGCTCAGAACATCTTGAACTGAAAACATGAGGTGATCTGGGTGATCTTACAAATCTGATGCCGTGTGGAGAGCAGAATTCTGCCTGTCCCCGTGTGATCGTGGTTGCTGTTCCTGGAAGTGGCTGTGCTGTACTGAGTGAGAACAGCGTGGCTGTGCTTATGAAGTGCAATGCTTGTACTCGTCTGGGTGCATCTCTAGATGCCAGAAGTGGCAAGTCATTGCAGCTATTCTAGACTTGGCCAGCACTGTGTTGACCATATTTTCTGTTCTTGTTTCACAGGCTCTGGAAAAAAACCCTCCAGCAGCTGCTTCTGCTAGTCCACATTTCCTAATCCGAACAGAGCTCCTTATCCACACACCAATACTATCTTCTCTCCTTCGCCATCGCCACCCCTCTGAAGTGAAGTACCTGCTGGCACAGCGGTGTCTCCAGGATGGGAGGTAACAGCACCTCTGGTCTGATCGCAACATGCTGCTTGCAGTTTTCTCTGTGCTCCTGGAAATTTTCAGTTCAGTAACGCTGTTGTAGGTCTGCTCAAAGCATGGGTATCATGACCAGAGTGAGTATGGTGCAGGGAGAGCCTGTGGGCTGGCAATCCAGGTTCCATCTGGCTGCTGGCACTTCTTGGGGTCCCTGTGCTCCTTCCACAACATGTCCTGTCTCCATTGTAGGGTGGCTGATGCAGTGGAACATTACCTGGATCTTCTGGCTCTGCTTCAGGAGGGATTGCAGCAGCAGGTAGGTGTCCTGGTGAAGAGTTTTGGATCCCCATCCCAAGGCCTGGGCCCAGGCACCACCCCTGGACTCCAGGTTTCAGTGTCTAGTTTGAGATGTGAAGGAAATTATTTCGGGGCTGGCACCTCTGACCTGTGGCATGTCTGCCTTTGGATTCACACCAGAGGCCGCTTGCCACTGCTATTGGGAGAAACAGCTTCCCCTTACCTGTGGGGAGCAGCTGCTGGCCTGGTTTTGGATGTCCTTCACTTCAAGAGTAGGGATTTGCCACCTTGACTCTGCTGACCTGTTGGTGCTTCACAGCTTCTGCCTCCTATGACACGCTCCAGTGTCTGTGGCAGTGGGTCTGAGCTTTGCTGGGCAGCAGCTCCAGCTTCCCAGTAAGCATGAGAAGCTTGGCTGGGCACTCTGCAGTTCTGCATCTGAGCACTGCCACTGCTTTTGCTCCCCAGGTGCCCCTAGATGGTGGCTCAACTTTGCCCAGGATCCCTGAGGTGTTCCTGGAAGCAGCGTCTGCCTTGGAGCAGGCTGGGAGGCATCATGATGCCATAACTGTGTGCGAGGAGGTCATCAGCCGGACAACTGACCTGATCCCACGGATGTTACAAGTGGAGGAAAGGTTCGAGCAGCCAGAGTGCCCATCTCCAGGGGCAGGGCTGGCGGGTGGACACCTGTCCCAGAAGGAGAGTCTGTGCTGCCTTGCCTGGAGAGCAGCTGGATACCTGCACCAGGGCTGGGTGTGGGCCACACTGGGCAAGAGCAAGGAGGCCATAACACAATTCAGCAGGTGAGGGAGCCTTGCTGGGAGAAAAGGCCTCCCCAGCTGGCAGCAATGGCTGGTGGGGGCCAGAGCAGGGCACAGTGCAGCACTGGGGCTGGCCTGACAACTTGCAGCTGATTTCCCAGCCTGGAGTTGGTACTGAAGCTCTTTCGTCTTCCCACATGCAGGTGCCTCGGTGATCTCTTGAGAGTCCAGGTTTATGGATCTGGCATTGAACCGGCAGGTAGGCTGCTGCACAGCTGAGACACGTGCAGGGCCTGACTGGGTCAGGATCTGCATGCTTGGCAGTGGTGGGTAAAGGAGCAAGGCTCCAGGCCCAGTGTCACCTCTGGCAGGAGATGCTTGTCCCAGTGTGCTGGAGCCTCTGAAGGGACTGGCTGGTTTGGCTGGAGCAGTGTTTGGCCTCAGCTCTGCCTCCTTCCCTGCTGTCTAGGTGACAGTTAAGTGGGTTGTGAACTGGGTTGCTTTTCAAATCCAGATTTCAGGGAAGGGATCCGGGTTGTGCAGATGGGCAGCCACAGGTGAAGCTGCTGCCAAGGTCACTGTTCACCACAGCCATGTAACGTACCAAGCTCTTGGCATTCTTGGCTCTTGCCCTCTGCTGCCTCCTGGCCTCCTCCAGCCTGGCAGAGAGGCTGAGCTTTGCCACTGGTAGTTCGGGGAGCTGGAAGATGAGCAGCCCACGTAAACGTTTGGCCTGTCCTGGCTGCTAACCTGGCTCAGCCTGCTGGGACAAGGGAGGGAATGTCTGGAGGATGCTGTCTCCAGGTGTGCGTGTCTTTCTGTGCCAGAGAATCTCCCAGAAGTGGAGGTGCTCCAGAAGATCAGGTTGCTCTCCCTCATCGGGCGAGGTACACAATTCCTAGAGCTGGGGAGGCACAAAGAAGCCTTGTTGGATTTCCAGCATGGTTTGCAGATCTCACCAGGTAAGAGCCGTATTTTGGTGAGGAACAGAGAGGATTTCCACAAATTTGTCCTGGGCTGCTTTGCTGTCTTCAGGAGAAAGCTCTTGTGCTTTAGACCATACTTATGTGGATGTCAAGGACTACAGTAGGGTTACTAGCAATGTTACGTACTTGAGATGCTTCTCTGGGGCCTGGTGTTAAAAAAGTCCACGGTGTCTGGCGTTATCCCCATAGTTCAAACCCTATGTTTCCCATAGCAGAGTCCCAGGCATCAAAGCTGGAAAAAAAAAAAAAAATTATTCAATGGTACGGTAGCAGGTTCAGCTCAAGATGTGTGCCTCTGGAGAGGGATGACCCTGAATAAAGAATTCTCTGGGCAATTAAACCCTTACAGACTATTCACCCACCCGTCACACAGTGGTTAGTCTAGTAGTAATATTTGGGCCTGGGGTCTTCTTGTTCCTCATTGGAACCCTTCAGTGTCTTTAGGAAGGTCGTTATTTGTCTAATTGCAGCTCCTGTTGATGGTTGTAGCCTTGAAGCCTCTGTATCTTCTGACCTGTGCTTCTTTGGCAGAGTGTGAGAAACTGAAAAAGTCCTAGACTAGATAAAAAGTTCCAGAATTAGGATAAGCACCACTTAGTCAGTGTGTTATCTACATTATTCTCACACTAAAGATCCAAAACACAGCACACTGTACCTAAGTGGAAATTTACAGCTTGCAGCCTAAGGCTTCAGCAAATCTAGTTACTCATGCTAAGTAAGTAAAGCTAAGCAAACAGCATGCTAAATCACACAATATTATAGCTGTGATTTATTCTATTTAAAACTTGCTTATTTAAGCCAAACTATCAGTATCTCTCTTAACACTGGTCAGCTCACTGCCCTGGAGAAACAAACCAAAACTGTTGCCAGAGGAACATATCGGAACCCTGCCCACTACCTGTGCCCTGACACAGCTTGGACACTTCTGTTCTTGCCCAAACCCCAGCCTGGTACAGCCAGCTTTCTCCCAGACAGGGTCTGCTTTCCTAGAACAGAGGAGCTGGATGTTGCTTCCTCCTAGGAAGTGGCATGTCCATGACTGTCAGCCCAGAGGCCGAGTACAGAGGTTTGTGAGGGGAGAGGGGAGCGGGGAGCGAAGCAGGGAGCTGTAGCACAGTCAAGGCATGGCTAGTGCTGGTCCCAGGGGTGACCTCCCCTGTTCAGTGCTCCAGCTGTGCTGACATGCTGCAGGGGTGTCAGCTTCACCAGGATCTGCCAAACCTGCTCGTCCCAGTCCTAACAGACTCCCTCCCTTTGGGGGCAGACCTGCCTGCAAGGAAAACCCGTGAAGACGTCTAAACAGGGGTGTGGCTGGCTGTACCGCAGGGCTGATGCCATCTGCCCCAGTGTTAATTAGAGCCTGTGACACAGCCGTGATTGTCTCCTCCCAATTACACCACCTCTCCTCATGTTCACCTCCCTCATTTGTCTTCTAAGTTCCTTTCGTCACATCCAGCAACCACAGCAGCGCTGGGGACCTGCTCCTCCCCTGCTAAAGGGCTTAATCCTGCTTTGTGTCTTGCAGGTGACCCATCTGCTGTCTCCTACCTGGTGCAGGCCTTGTGGAAACTGGACCGAAAGCAGGAGGCGGCTGCTCACTGGCAGAAGTTCTCCCAGATTCCTTTTCAGCAGGAAGGGCAGGAAAGGTGTGTAGAGGGATGGGTGGGATCTCAACTGGCCACACAAGACAGCTCCAGCAGTGTGGCCTTTGAAGCTGTGTGGGCAGTTTAGCTCAGCGCCTGCTAGCCTGCACCTGTGGCTCAGAGGAGTCTGAGGAGCTTCCCCCCACGTCTGCTCTTGAGAGCCCACGGGCTGTGGCTCCGCAGGGACTGCCCAGGGCATGAAAAACCTGGCACAGAGCCAAAGCCCAGTTCTGTGATGGGAAATGGGAGGGCAGAGGCTGGGGCCTCTGTGCAGTGCCTGGGGAATGAAATTCCTAGCCAGACCGTG